CACATATTTTAGGACAACATCTTTGGCACACTTTTAGACAGATGGCTCACACAAGTTTAAAGGTTTGTCTATTCTAGGGAAATGTGTGTTGTTTTCAAATGTGCTAACTAACATGTTTGAATTAAAACGCTCAAATACACCTTAGCCCCTAGTGTCGAGAGTCACGTTAAAATGAAGTATCAGAGGGGTAGCCATGTTAGTCTGGGTCTGTAAAAAGCAACAGAGAGTCCTGTGGCACCTTTAAGACTAACAGCTGTATTGGAGCATAAGCTTTTGTGGGTGAATGCCCACTTCCATTCACCCACGAAAGCTTATGCTCCAATACATCTGTTAGTCTTAAAGGTGCCACAGGACTCTCTGTTACTTGTTAAAAATGAATTAGCTGGTTGTGGTAAAAATGTGTTAGCTGGTCCTAAGGCTTGGGCCACATTACGAAACGTTACCATAAAACATGCCTTAGTCTGGCACATCTTTCTTTGTGTCCACACTTACTTTTGAGTCCTGGTAGTAAAACTCTAACTTTCTGTTGGTCTCATTAAACCATCTCCCTGAAAGACATAAGCCCTCTATCTGCACTATTCCACTGCTACAATAGCTGTGTAGATCATGTATTACCTATGCCAGTAAAAACAGTCCTCTGGCAACAGTCCTACAATGCCCCTGTCCCTGTGACAATGACCCTCCTGATCACCATTCTGAACTCTGTTGCCAAGGGGTCACAGTGACCAGGCCCTCCCCCCCCAACAACACTTTAAAACACCATTTTGGAAATGTGTCTCTTCTGCAAGCCCACCTCAGAGCACACAGATATGGATACCCATAAAGAAACAGGTAAACCTTGTACTGCTGCGTGGTCAGGAAAGAAGTCTTGGATTTCCTCAGCCTGTGGGGAGGAGAAATGCAAGCCCAGATGCAGAATAACTGTGGAAGTAAAGATGTCTATTTGGACACTGCAGAGGATATGCAGCTGGGGCACAACAGGGAGGGGCATCAATGCTGGGTGAAGGAGAAGGAACTGCAGCAGCTGGAAAAAAGGCAAGGGAGGCCAACAGAAAATCTGGGGCTGCCCCACATACCTGCCGCTTCTATGCAGAGTTGGATGCCATATTTGGTGGGGATCCGACCATCACCGCAAAAGTGACAGTGGACACTATGTGAGATCCCGAGGAGGGAACCGCAGCAGTGCACAGCAACAAACAGCTTGTCAAGGACATGGATGCAGAGGACGCTGACCCAGTGGAGAGCCAGTCAGCTGAACTTGACTCAGTTGAGTCCTGAGGAGGAACCCATTATGCACTTTCTCTGATTACCCTTTGTTAATGTCAGTGAAACCTTCCTGGTGATCCACTAATGCCTGCATAACCATGAAAAGAACCACTTTCTGTTTAAGTACTCAGCCAGAGGAGTGGGGGTGGGCGGGCCAGGATCAAGGTATGCATTTCCTCTACCACTCCACCACAGTTTGGGAAATCCACTGCACTGAATCAATCTATTATTTCCTGCACATTGCCCAGAGTCACAATCCTGTGCAGTAGGCGACAATTAATGGGCTTGCACACCTGGATGATGACTGTCCCCACTGAAGACTTTCCAACACCAACCGATAGCAATCTAGGGTTGCAAGCTTCCACAGCATGATTGCTACCCATTTTCCACTGTCAAAACAGCTCTCATTTCCGTGTCTCTGCACTGAAAGGCTGGGGCAAGCTCAGCACACAACTCCAGAAATGTGACCTTCTGCATCTGAAAGTTCTGAAGCCACTGCTGAGCGTCCCAGATTTGCATCATGATCCATTCCCAACAATCAGTGCTTATTTCATGGGCCCAGAAGTGCTGTTCCACCGTGTGTAGCTGGTCAGTGAATGCCTGCAACATCAGGTGACTTTCATTCACTGTCTGCATCATCCACTCCTCCTCAGTTTTCTCATTTTCACTGCTGCATGCCTGGCCTCTGTGATAGTTGCTGAAGTTCCACAAATACAGAAGAAGCAGGTGCCCTGTCTATAAAATTGATATAAGAATTCCACTGATCTGTTTGGCATCCATGTTTTTGCCAGTGAGGTGGCAGAGAGATTGAAAACCGGCACAAGGAACTGTGGGAATTTTAGAAAATGGTGCAAAAGAGAAGATTATGGCGGGAACAGAGGGAACTTAACCCCAAGGTCCCACAGTTCCCTGAGAGGAGTGCTGGTTTCTCACAGTACACTTCCAAAAGTCACAGAAAGCTGGACTGTGGTGTGGGGCACACTGGGATGCCTTCCTGGAGTGCAGAGCACTTTTTCTCCGATACAACCTCTTGACGTGAAGGTGTGCTGCACTGGCAAAGGCAGGCGAATATGCACATGCTCTACTGGAATTGCAAAATTGGTAGCTACATGCTAGCAGAAATACTACCAATAAAACTTTCTAGTGTAGGTGTGACCTAAATAACCTTGGCTAACACATTTTAACCTGGTTGTCTTTGTCTACACTAGATGTTACATGGTGCTTAAAACATATTCATTAAAACATTATTCATTTTCCCAGTGTAGACAAACCCAAAGAGAGAAACTGCTGCTCTTGGGACATTTCTTCCCAACAGAGTATTTTTTTTTTAATCTGGTCTGCCCACCCTGCAGGAGGCAGTAAAGTCAGCATTCACTCTCATAAACGTAGAGCTATAAACAGCAGCTTCTCTCTCTCTTTGTGCTTATGGGATGGAAACCCCAATTTTCTCTCTTCCCCCACCTGCTCACACTCTACTTCCTCTACTGTATGTAGTTATGTTTAATCTAACTCTGCTTATATGCAAAGACTCAGAGGTGACAAACCTCATAGAAATGTCTATAGGTGATAATGTTTTCACCCCTCAGCTCATAGAGAGCTGAGAAAAACTAAAGAAAAATTATGCAGTCAGTGCTTTTCCAAAGGACTGTTAGAGCACCACTACATTTCAGGAATGGGGATTGGGCAGGGAGGTTCAACTTGCATGTGCTGATTTATATGTAAGTTTAGAGCAGACAGAGTGTGTGTTTGTGTACAACTCCCCTGACAAAACTAATAGATTCATAGATTCATAGATTCTAGGACTGGAAGGGACCTCGAGAGGTCATCGAGTCCAGTCCCCTGCCCGCATGGCAGGACCAAATACTGTCTAGACCATCCCTGATAGACATTTATCTAACCTACTCTTAAATATCTCCAGAGATGGAGATTCCACAACCTCCCTAGGCAATTTATTCCAATACAGGCATGAAATAACTCACAATGATGCTTCCGAGTTATATTTTTCATTTTTTTCAACAAAACAGCTACAATATTCTGGCACTTGCATAGCCCCCTTTGTCAATCCTAACAAACCAACTCAACAAAAAGAGAATACATTTAACAGGAGACAGTGCTCCTAAAAAGTCAATTATTATAAACAAACAAAAACACATACCTAGTGCAATAGGTCATCCAGAATCCCAAATGCTACTATTTGATATTCTCCATATTATTTAAGGCATTATAAAACTTGCATGTGTTTCAGTTATTCACTGTTTACTTCTACCCTTCCCAAGTTATAGCCTATACAACGATGTGCATCATTCACCTGATTTTTGCAGCTGAGCTATTTTCCTTTGACTTCCTTGTTTAAGTGCCCTTTGCTAATTCATTTAAATCTTTTGATTCTGGTGTTCAAAGCCCTTCATTCTGATAGGCTATTTTATTTATATAATTGATGTCTATATGTGCTGTAGTCCAACTTGTACTCTAAGTTACTGCTGTTTCAGCATTTCTACAATTTGTAAAATCTAAGTACAGGGCCTTTGCCCGTATAGTTCCATCTAGGTGAAATTTGTGTTGCTTATTCATTGCCTCGCTTTTAAGTCTTATTTTAAACATTATATTCTGGTTTATATCCTATCTACACTTTTGTGTTAATTCTACGTTGTTTTAGTTATAGCACTTTGGCGCTTGCAGTAAAATAAAACAGCAATTAACATGAACATTGTACTATGTACCAAGATATAAATGTCTAAATTATACTTAGTTATGCTTGAATTTGTAAATACGATGACTACAATCAGAAACTCCAGCCCGTAGGAGCAGGTGCAAAGCAACCCATTGCTACACTGGGGGGAGAGGGTAAAATGAGGCCACTGCTCCCCTCAGTATCCCCCAGACGCAGAACTGTGCAGGGGAGACCCTCCCATACTCTGGGGAAACAGGGATCCAGTTAGCAGGGCCGGCTCCAGGCACCAGCTGACCAAGCACGTGCTTGGGGCGGCACCTGGTAAGGGGCGGCCAATCTTGGGGTGGCGGGGGGGAGGGGCGCTCAGGGTTTTTCTTTTTTTTGGGGGGGGGGGGGTTGGGCGGGCGGCGGAGGGGGTTGGCGGGCGGGGGGGGGCTGGGAGGTTTGGCAGCGCGGCGCTCCGCGGGGGGCTGGGGGTTCTGCAGCGCGGCGCTCCACACCTGCCCCTGTGCAGTCCACACCTGCCCCTTAGCCTCTTCTCCCCAGCCCTGTCTCCCTTACCCTCTTCTGTTCAATGTTTCTTCCCCTTCACTTTTATTTCTGTTTAGCATACCCCCTGCTAACGAAACCCACCTAAAAAAACTGTGGAATGAATATGACATTTTCTGTCTTCAAACTGTTGACTCTGCTTGTGTGTGACACCCTTCCCTCCAACCCTGTGTGTGTCTTATCTATTTAGATTGTAAGATCTTTGGGGCAGGACTAGCTACTACACTGCTTGCACAGTGCCTAGCACAATGGGGCCCCACTGGTTGGTCCTTTGGCAATATAATAATAATTGATTATTAATAATAAAATATAAACATGTAAGTTATATTTAAATGTGTGAATATTAAGACTGCATTCAGTTCCAACACAAATATAGCCAAGGAAAACACTAGACAAAAACAGTGTCTCATATAAGAATGTCCAATGCATACAGATAAATCTATACTCTAATACTTAACAACTCTTGACCCTCTAACAAATGAAACTTTTGGTATTAAACGATAGTCTGACTTACTTTGCTCTCTTGGCCATCTCATTGCCATCCCAGCGTGGGCTGTAAGGGTAGTTTTTCTGGGCCTGGGAATACAGCTGTCCACTGTTAGTGAAGTGATAGACTGATTGAAATGTTAGAGTTGGCTGGTCTCGAGGAAAGTACAGAGGTAGGTCAACTGCAAAGACAGCAAAAGAAAAAGATGGCATGAAAGAGACATCTTTTCTTGCTTTTATCTTTATTGTGAAATATATCATTCCTACCTATTAACTCTAAACTCAGGTTAAGAAATGTACCTAACCAGATCTTAAATGAAAATAGTAAAAATGATGGGGAATTCTAATATCTCTTCTTGTACTTTCAATAAACGTGGATTATATTACGTCGATGTCTGACTCGATTTATGTTTACTGAAGTATTTTATTTTACAAAGCAAATGACATGGTTTTATTGTGCATTTACACGTTAATCACAGTATTTCCACTAGTTCAATCTCTCTCTCTCTCTCTTTTTCTCTTTCTTTTTCTAATGCTTAATGCATTAAAGTCTGTATTTTTCCAGCTTAGTTTCTACTTTCAGGAATGTTAATACACATTCTGTTTTGCGAAATAGAGCAACATTGTACTTTTATAGAACCTTTCATCTGATGAGCTCAAAGTGCTTTATCAGCCATAATTAATCCTTACACCTTGCCTGGGAGATGCAAGTATTATTAACCCCATTTTACAGATGGATAAACTGATGCCCAGAGAGGTTAAGTGATTTAATCAAGGTCACATTGTGAGTCACTTGCAGAATCTAGAATAGAACAAAGGAATCCCAACTCGCAGTCAAACAACTAAAACTACAAAGTCACTGATATCAGAAATGTTTTACTCTTAAGTGTCCCCAGAATTAGATCCTCTCTCTTTTAACTCCCCTTGCTTATCACCCAAAAGGAAGGAGGCCATCTCAAGATTAGTCAGGTCTGTTAGATCAACAAACCAGTCTACAATGGAGAGTATTCCAGAGGCTCTTCAATTTGTAAAACTTAACCTTTTAATCGCCAAATGTATTCTTAGAATATAACATTTTCTTGGGTCTTCTTTTATATTCGGTAGACTTAAAAAATGTCCCTAGTTGGTTTTAAGATTTTTACTCATACATCCATCTCAGTATTTACTTTTACGGCCTGATCCTGCATCCACTGAAGTCAATGCCAAAACCTGCATTGTCTTTAGTGGTACAGGATTTGGCCCTCAAAGCATCCCTCACTATTCCATTTAATATCCCAAAATGATGCATTCCACTAACCCTAAGAGACAAAAGAACAAATTCTCACCAATTTAGTTTTGTAAGGCTGTAGCTCATTCATCGGAATTTGGGACCTCAGACATCTTCATTTGTGACGTCATAATTCTACCTAATGAGACGTCAAGGATCCTGACTGAATAATGTCAGATGTAGTTAAAAATGGAACAGGCCTGGTAAATGATTTATCCCATTTCTATGCCAGAGCAGGATTGTTTCCTCCAATATATTTGCTAGTGCTTTGTGTATTCTATTTTTAAATATTTCAAGATAGGATGCTTCCACCACTTCCTTTGAAAGCCTACTCCACAGCCTAAGATACAGCAATCTCAGAAAGATTTTCTGCTAGTTAGCCAAAATTTTCCTACTCTTTGAACTGGACAAGCCTTATTTTCCCTATGCTCCAAATCAAGCCTGCCAACCCCACAGTCACTCCCCCTTCATATGTTTATGGTAATGAGGTACACAAAACCAATTAACCAGGGGACTCAGCCCACACAAACGCTTGCTTGATACATTTAAGAGGTAACATGATGGACTGAGTAAGTTTGATCAATTTTGGGGAAGAACATTACTACGTTTAAGAAAAAAAAAAAGTTAGATTCAAAAATGAAATACTTTGTCAAAGTCTTCTTGGTAGCATGGTTAATGCATGATATCCCTGAAAAAGAATTGCCACACAATAAGCCACTTATCAGTAAGCAAACTACTTGTTCCTCCCTCTCACAGACATTACTCTTATGCCAGAGAATCAAAAGAGCTGCTCTGTAGAGAGCAACGTAAACCCCAGGAGACTGGTTCTCAGTTTTGAAGCTGGAAGTTTACTTTGTTTAGTGCTGTGTAATTTAAACTCCATTTCTTAGTACAGTCTTTATCTGCTCTCTCTGCAGAATCAATTTCTGGAGGAACACCCTCCCTCAAATAACTGTGCAAATGGTATGAAACACTTGTTTGCTTATAAATATGAATAAAGGATAGCAAACTCCAGTAAAGAAATTAAATCATATTATCTCTATTTATTTCATTTATCTTTTTACTAGAGACTTTCAGGTCTCCATTAGCTTGATTTTGAAAACCTCTCGCTATGTGAAAGAGGCAGTAATAGCATTTTTCCTCCCATTAACTAAACCAAAAGATTTGTTTTTAAGAAAAAGTATCTAGCAGTACAGCTACGGTCTAAAAGCACTAGAGAGACATTGCTGTCACTTCAGAGAAGCTCTCATTTTCTGTGATTAGCCTTTCATCTTTCAGAGTATTTTTTCAACAGAGGTACAGCAAGAGAGGAAAGAAAGAAAATGCTTCCTCCTTTTCTTAACCAAAACATTTATAGAGGTTTTCAGGAGTCAAATATAATGTAAACCGGGGAACCGGACGATCAAAATAGATTGGTTTAAATTTGAACTGTCCACTCCTGGCCAAGAGCAGTACCACCTTGAACTTCAAGCCAAATCTTGAAAAGTAATGATGGCTGCCTTTGATTTCCAAAGCTATTGTCCACCTGAGAACACAAAGTATAACCAGAGCTCCCATTTTCTAAACCAAGTGTTTCTCTAATTAAGGATGTGAGCTGAGCCTCATCAACAAAAATGTGACCCTAATTATGGAGCACAACCACACCTATAATTCAAGTAAACAGGAAATGGCCCTGAACTTTAACCTGCTCTATACATTTCAAATAGCCAGCTATTATTTCAGAAGTAGACATTAAGGGCCAAATTCATTGCTGGCACAATGGAGATAAGTCCACTGGAGTTAATAAAGTAGTAGTTTCTTATGTCAAGTTTGAATTCGGCCCCAAAGTTTTCAGAGCATGTAAAATAAGCAAACATGTTATCAGTTAATATTTACAAAGGGTTTTGAAGATAAAAGGTCAGATTTTGCTCTTGGTCACACCTGTGTTTTTGTGGCAGTGGCAAAGGTGTGATGGAGAAGATTTTGCCCTTTGCTGGTTATACAAATGATATAACTATGTATTATAGAACACAGATCAAATCTGCTTCTGTATAGTATACAAGGGGACAGAGTTAAGTGTTGGCAAAATTATATCTATCGTAGACCACATTTATATTTTACTATGTAGAATGAATCACAGTGCAAAATAAATCACACTTTCTTAAGTGAGCATCTGAATTGTGAAGATTACAACAGCAAGCTTTGGTTTGGCATTTTATTTAGCCACAGTATTTAGATACTTAAGAAACACAAAAGAAGTATTCATGGTGAATGCAAGTGTTATTTCCAAATCAAAGCTGACTCACAAGTACCTTGGTGGTGTATCTGCAGACAATAAGTGGATGACTCATGTCTGTAAATTCCTGAAAGTGGCAACAGACCCTTGCTTAGTCATCTTTTGCATGGATGCTGTTTCATGAGCTCTGTAAACCATAATGAGGGATTTAGCTCTTTACCGGCCTTTTTTTTTTTTTTTTGCCCTTCTAAACCATACAAATTACATCTCTAAAAATAACTTTATCTAGGTGAGTCACGTCACTTAACAAGCTTCCACAAGTCATACGGTTAAATAGTAATATTTACTTAGGAAGGTACAAATCTTGCTGTCAAACTAGTCTTGGTTTTAAAATGAAAAGGTTGTCAAAGGAAGTCTCATTTACCCCTTCTCTCCCAGGAATAGAAGCTCTTCCATTGGAAAATGTAAACTATTAACTAGTCCAGGAAAGTAAAGCTTTCTGATTCAGTTCCAGATTCAGCATAATTTAATGATTTTGATTTTTTACTTTGGCTTATTTTTTTAAAATAATCATTTTAAATAACACAATAATTGGCCAGAGGAGCACACTAGTAGGGTTAAAACCAGAAAGACACTTGTTTCACTCAGACTCAGACTATACTAACATTTACAGACTAATTACCAATAGGGTCAACTCCCTAATCTGGCAAACCTCCTATCCTTTCTCAGGGAAAACTTTTATGGTAGTGCTGAGTAAACCTGAGCAAAGGACCTCAAGATTGCCCCTAACTTTTTATGCTGTGTTTATTCCAAAATGAAAAAGAAAAAGTGATTTGCACAGAGATTTAATTATAGCTTATAAATAGCTACAGTAGTTTGATGTTTTCTAAAAATAAAAGAAGCTACAAAAAACAATACATACACATTTCAGTTGTTCTTGCTTTTGTGCTGTCATGTAATTTAATGTATACGCTCAGTATATTTTCAATATTGTTATCTAAATGACAAACCCTGGCTAACAATTGCCTGAAAAATTATGCCAAGAGTTAGTAAGCTTTTTTTGTTTACCTTCTCAAAGATCAATAACACTGAGGTCTGGAACAGAACAATGTTAACCACTCAGATCACACATGCAAACAACTCCAGAGTTAATAAGAAAGTATTACTTACCTTGGAGCTAATCTAACAAGTTAATATAATATGCAAATCTTTGATTCCTGATTAGATCAGTGGTAAATACATTTTTTTTTGGACATTTGATTTTATATTCCTTTTAGCAGTACAGTAGAACTTCAGAGTTATGAACACTTCAGGAATGGAGATTGTTTGTAACTCTGAACAAAACATTAGGGTTATTCTTTCAAAATTTCAAACTCTAAACAAAACTGGCAGCAGTGTGCAGGGGAAGTATGTCATAACCAAGAATATCCCTGCTCCATTTCATATACAATAAAACCTTAGAGTTGTGAACACCAGAGTTACGAACAGACCAGTCAACCACAAGGCTCATTTAGAACCGGAAGTACACAATCAGGCAGCAGCACAGGAAGGGAAAAAAAAGGCAAATACAGTACAGTACTGTGTTAAATGTAAACTACTAAAAAAAAAATAAAGGAAAAGTTTAAAAAGAAAGCTTTGACAGGGTAAGGAAACTGTTTCTGTGCTTGTTTCATTTAAATTAAGATGGCTAAAAGTAGGGT